CCTCAGTACCACATAAGCAGAAAAAACCAGAAGTGGTGCTGTGGTAGAGTGCTAGCCTTGAACAAAAGAAGCTCAGGACAGTGCCTAAGCCTTCAGTTCAAGCCCAGGACTGGCAAAAAAAAAAAACCCTGGTTGGGGGAGGGGAGGCAGTGTGGGATTTCCTCTAACTTCCTCCATCTTCTATAAGCACAACTTCCATTCAGATTAGTAAAAGTATAGAAACTTCATTAATCCAAGACACTCTTAGATTACAAACTGAACAATTAGGCAAGAAACAAACATAATCATCCTCAAGTAGTTCATCATTTAAAGCATTTGTTAATCTCTTAAAGACTAATTTCTCCTTCACACCTAACACACCAGTTCCTCAAATCTTTACATCCAAAACAACACTAGCTTTAATCTCTAATGCACTATACTTCAACCTTGAATGTTCTCTTTTCTCCTATTGGTTCCTACAGTCTTTCCTTTTGCTAAAAGACTCCCTATAAAATCCTGTAAGAACTAGATTATTTTCCTACCTCCTCCTTTGCAGAACATGAAAGGTACCATATTATTTAATGACTGAAGAAAACCATAATAAAATGACTCATCCTCAAATCTATGAAAATACTGGTGGCATATGGTTTTGTCTCAGTTAAAAAGCTTTAGCAACTTAAGGAAAAGTCAACATCTGTGCTATTCATTCAACTAATAGTTACTGAATGACTGTACTAGCCTCAAGAAAAAACTCTTGCCTTCATAGAGTTTATATTCATTCAAGTAGAGAGTGGGACATAAATAAAGATGTATTTTGACAGATGAAAATAAGTGCTACAGAGAAAAGTAAAGCAAGTAAGAGAGTTGGAAGAGATGCTGGGGCAGTGGTTCAAATGGTAGAGCACCTGACTCTCGGGGCTGGGAAGGTGGCTCAGTGGTAGAGTGCTTGCCTTGCATGCCTGAGGCCCTGGGTTCGATTCCTCAGCACCATATAAGCAAAAAGAAAAAGTCGGAAGTGGCGCTGTGGCTCAGGTGGTAGAGCGCTAGCCTTGAGCTGAAGAGCTGAGGGACAGCACCCAGGCCCAGAGTCCAGGCCCCATGACCGGACCCAAAAAAAAAAAAAGTGACTCTCAAGTGCAAAGCCCTGAGCTCAAACCCCAACACCAACAAAAGTGGGGGGGGCGTAAGTAGGGGACAGAAGTTCACAATTGTAAACTGAACATCTAGAAAAGCTTCCTTTGAGAAGGCACCATGGGGTACATGCACAAGTTACATGAGATGTCTGTTAATAGAAAGTAATACTTTTTGAGTATTTTCTGTTAAATATTAAATTGTATTGTAGATCACCAGATTAAGATAGAGACAGCTTCACAACAACAAACAATGTATACAATTAAACTTGACCGAAGTAATTTCAAAAGTTCATTCCTATTGGAACCCGTATAATTTATCACAACATCTGCCTTATTTACCTAGGATGAATAGCTGTGAGATTTGTGATTAGTCATTTTCTTAGGAAGATGACAACAATAATTAAAATCAAATATACAAACCAAATTATAAAACTGATACTCTTAAGTAACCTAAAGACATTGTTAAATATGAAATAACTGAAAACTGTAGTGTTTAACAAACATTACTATGCCAGGTGTGGTGGTGCCCAGCTACCCAGTAGGCATAGGCAGGACAATTCCAAGTTTGAGGTCAGCATGGTCAAAGGTAAATACAAACAAGATGACAGGTATATGGCTCCAGTGGTACAGTTTTTGCCTAGCATGCTCAAGGACAAGGCTCCTAGTTTGAATCTCAGTGACACTTAAAAAAAAAACCCACTCCAAAAAATTCATTATCAGTTGGGGGAGGAGGGTTGGATGGGAGGAAGAGGGGAGGATGGGAAGGGATGGGAAGGGGAAACCAAGGAGTGGGTACAATGCTTGATAAGAAATGTACTCATAGCCGGGCGCTGGTGGCTCACGCCTGTAATCCTAGCTACTCAGGAGGCTGAGATCTGAGGATCGCGGTTCAAAGCCAGCCCGGGCAGGAAAGACCGTGAGACTCCTATCTCCAACAAAACCACCAGAAAACCGGAAGTGGCGCTGTAGCTCAAGTAGTAGAGCGCTCGCCTTGAGCTGAAGAGCTGAGGGACAGCGCCCAGGCCCAGAGTTCAAGCCCCACGACCGACAAAAAAAAAAAAAAAAAAATGTACTCATTATCTTGCCCATGTAATTGTAACCCCTCTGTACAGTATTTTCACTATAAAAAATATATATTCATTGTTAGAAAAAAATTCATTATCATTTACGACACAGCTGTAAGAAATCATAATAACCCTAAAGACTAAATTCTGAAGATACAAAATGTGTATATCTAATGAATCTAATGGATTAAGCCATTATACTTTGCTCTTATTTTTATTTTTCCTGGTGCTGGGGTTTGAAGTCAAGGACTTCTATTTGCTTGGCTGACATTTTACCACTTTAGCTATGCACTTACATTCAGCTACTTTCTTTTTTTTTTTTTGTACCAGTCTTGGGGTTTGAACTCATGGCCTGGGCCATGTCCCTGAGCTTCTTTGTTCAAGTCTAGTGCTCTACCACTTAAGCCATAGCTCCACTTCTGGCTTTTTTTTTGGTGCTTAATTGGAGATAAGAGTCTCACAGATTTACCTGTATGGCCTTGAACTGCAATCCTCAGATCTCCGCCTCCTGAGTAACTATGATTACAGGCATAAGTCAACTGGGCCAGGCTCTATTTACAGTTTTTGGTTATTTGGAGAAAGGAATCTCAAGGATTTGTCTGCTTAGAGTGGCTTCAAATCTCCATTCTCAGATCTCTTCTCCTGAGTAGCTAGGATTAGAGGCTTGAGCACTGATATCTGGCTCCAGCTCAGTTTTTTGCTGGTTATTTTAGAGATAAGTCTGTGGGACTTTTCTTTCCCCCAGGCTGGCTTCAAATTTTGATCCTCCAAATCTCAGCCCCCTGACTAGCCAGGATTACAATACTAAACCCTGCTGGTCTTAGTTTTTCAGTATTTCCCAAGGGGACTTACTTCTTCAAGAGAACTGAAAGGAGAGTGCACTAAACTATTTATCGACTGAATTAAATTTTCCTCAATCCTTGTGAGAATGACAAACTATTCAGATTATTGTCTGTGGGTTTGAACTTTCTTATGGAATTGGAGAGAACTGAGGGCATTTGATTAGATAACAAATAAAAAATAAACAGGCAAAACCTTCTTCCAGAATGGTATAGGTCAGTATTGAACTACATGTACAATTTTAAAAGAAATCTTCCACGCAGTGGTGGTGATGCAGGCTTGCAGTCTCAGTACTTGGGAGACTGAGGCAGGAGAATTGGGAGTTCAAAGCGAGCCTGGCTACAGTAAGTTGCAGGCCAGTCTGGACTACACAGCAAGACCTTGTCTTAAAAGCAAACTTTCTAGCTGGGCACCAGTGGCTCACACGTGTAATCCTAGGTACTCAAGAGACTAAGATCTAAGGATTTCAGTTCAAAACCAGCCCAGACAGGAAAGTTCTTGAGACTCTTATCTCCAATAAACCATTCAGAAAATCAGAAGTGGTTCTGTGACTCAAGGGGTAGAGCACTCACCTTGAGCTGAAGAGCTGAGGGACAGTGCCCAGGCCCAGAGTTTAAGCCCCACAACTGACAAAAATAAATATGTAAAACTTTCTAATTATTGATAATATCAAAAAGTACAAAGTCAGGCATCAGTGACTCAGGATTGTAATCCTAGCTACTCCGGAGGCTAAGATCTGAGGATTGTGGTTTGATGCCAGGCCAAGCAAGGAAAGACCAGTGAGTATCTCATCTCCGACTAACCACTAAATAGCCAGAAGTGGAGCTGTGGCTCAAGTGGTAAAGTGCCAGCCCTTAGTGGAAAAAAAGTAAGGGAGCACACACAAGACCTGAGTTCAGCACACACAGAAAAATTCAAAAGCATTACTATAATTTGCTACTTCAAATATACCTGCTGTATCTTATTCAGTGTGACAAGTCATAAATACTTGCTGAATTACAGTATTGTTTTCCTTCCCCAATATATCAGATTGTGGTATAACACAATCTGAATCAAGGATCAACAATCATTCTTACTACACAAGTCTATCTTCATTCCCAGGTCCCTTCCTAAAATCAATTCTAAAAATAATCATTAACATACAAATAACAGAGAAGAGAAAGGTATTCCAACCAAGAGCTTCGAATTCCCTGTTAACCAACTTGGAACGAGGTCCTACATTTAGCCTGTGTGTTGAGACAAATATGGAGAAGCCAAGAGCAGTAATAAACTGCCGGTTTACTGAGTCATGATTCTGACTAAAACTGTTGTGAAATGGAAAGAATGACATGTCGGGTTTAATCACCACAGATGTTAGCCTGAATTAAAGGGTCGCAGTATACAAAGGGGGAGGGGGGGCGAACAACTCTTTAAGAATGATGTAAGGACTTAAAAAATGACTCCCAGAAAGAACTCCGCCAAAGCTCGGCCGGCTGGCTGCTGATCTCAAACAAATCCGAACAGTGCAAACAGGCACACCCTTTCAGTGGATCCGAGCAGGAACGTCAGGTGGTGGGGACGGCGAACAATCAATCCCAAGGTGAACGTGTCCCGGCCCCGAGCGTACACACCACGCCTCACGCCTTGGGTTAACGGAACCGCCGTGCGCTGAGCCCCGCACCGAGCCGTAGTCGGCAGGCGTCTGGGCGACGCCAGGTCAAATCCAGCCTCCGCGCTGGGACGCCCCGTGGACGCCGCGTACGGGGGCGACCCCAGCCCGCAGCTCCCGGGGGGGGGGTCCCGGCGCTCCTCCGCGGCCGCCCCCGGAGAAGCCGCCCCCGGGCGGACCCGTGAGGCCGGCGCCCGGCGCCGTCGGCGACGCACCCCCGGGGGCCGCGACCTCTGCCCCGGACGGGAGCGGAGCACCCGAGGCAGCCAGTGCCTCCCGGGCGGGCTGTGGACAGAGGCGGACGGCACCCCGCGGCCGACGCGCTCGCTCACTGACCTGGAGAGGTGCTTCAGGATCTGTTTCTTGATGATGCCAGCCATGGTGCCGGGGAGCGGGCAGCCGCTCTCTCAGTGTTCCTCTCTGTCCGGACTAACCAGGCCAGAGGAGAGGAGCCTGAGCGCTCACTCCCGGAAGAGACTCGAGGCCTTGGCCGAGGCCACAGGCGCCGCCGTCGGCGAGGACCGGGAGCATGACGCTCAGGCCGCCACGGCTGCTGCCAGCGCCATCTTGGCTGCAGCATCACCTAAGAGACCAGAGGGCGGGCCTGGCAACGCGGGGGCGGGGCTAACACGTGGGGAGGCGGGGCTGGTACGGGCCCCGGAAGCTTGAGGCCACGCCTCCCTCTCCCTGTTAAGGGTCTTCTGCTTTCCAGAAGCAGCAGGCTCATTTATTTGACTTCAGATCCTGGAACCTACTTGGTTTTAATCCTCCTTGCCTTCCCTCTTAGCCTTATTTCTGCTTGTATCAGTGAGTTTCCCTTCCATATCCTACTTCTCTTTTTCATGCCTTCCAGACTTACTCTCCCCAACAAATTGCTCAGCCTGCTTTCTTCTCCAGACCTCCTCAGCTTTAGTCACATGCCTCCCTCAGGTTTCCTCCCTTTTGCTAAGATCTTTCCCTTAGCTAAATGCTGTAATGTAATGGTTCATCTAGCTAGATGCTATAATTTATGTTTCCCTTGGTTATTCTAATCCTAAAGGAAGTTAGGATTTAAAATGTGTCTTAATAGAATCTAGGACCTAGACATAAGAAAGCCAAATACAAGTTCTAGCTCGAATATTTTCTAGCTGTGTTAACCTACATAGAATTTCTTTTTCAGCTTCGTTTTAATTATCTATAAAATAAGATTAGTGCCCACACAGGAGGGGAGCTCAAACAGGTGCTTAGGAATGTTTGAGCAACATTTGCTGCTCAAGACTGCAGAAACAGGTTTAAAAAAAAAACTTGTAACTGATCAAAATGTTTCAGGCAATTGGAAGATAGACAATGTAGCCATTATGGAGTGGCAAGATGAGCATGACTTTCCCATGAGTCATATAATTGTACAGATGATATGTGTAATATATAATCTTTGGGTCAGTGAAAGCAATCTGCAATGTGGATAGAAAGAGTAATCAAGTTAGGGCTAGGAAGGTGGCTCAGTGGCAGAGTGCTTGCCTTGCATGCATGAGGCCCTGGGTTTGATTCCTCAGCACCACATAAGCAGAAAAAGCTGGAAGTGGCACTATGGCTCAAGTGGTAGAGGGCTAGCTTTGGGCTGAAGAGCTGAGGGACAGTGCCCAGTCCCAGAGTTCAGGCCCCATGACAGACCAAAAAAAAAGTAATTAAGTTAGGAACTGCCAAGCTAAACTACTTAGGCTAGGATCCAATCATCATGAAAAGGCCTGTGATGGGAATCACCATGACTCAGAACTAGCGTATCACACCATGGAATTCTATGCCTCCATCAGAAAGAATGACATTGCCCCATTTGTTAGGAAATGGAAAAACTTGGAAAAAATTATATTAAGTGAAGTAAGCCAGGCCCAAAGAAACATAGGTCCCATGGTTTCCCTTGTTTTCAATATCTAGTATATGTATCAGTCAAGCAGAAAAGGTCAGATAATGTGATGTCAGGAAAATGAACCCTTAGATATGTATTTTAATGTTTTTTTTCTTTCATGCATGTGTTTCTAACTCATTTATAAGATTATCTCTTTGTTGCTTTGTATGTCCCTCCCCCACAGTATAACCCCTGCTTTCACTATATTTGATGTCATTATAACTTGTGGAGGAGATGGGGAAAAACCAGTTGTTTAAGGATACAGGTGGACCTGTTGCAACGATGAGAAGTACAAGTTGGCATGTCCAAAACGAGCTTTACAACGTCAGTTGGGGGGGTGGGGGGGGGAGAAAGGGGGGGGAAGGAGAAGGATTGGGATTGGGGGGGGAGGGGGGAGGCTGGGAAGGGATGTGAAGGGTAAACAAAGGAGGAGGCTGCAATGCTTGGTAAGAAATGTACGCATTATCCTGCCCATGTAATTGTAACCCCTCTGTACAGTGTGTTCACAAATTAAATTAAATTAAATTTAAAAAAAAAGAACTAGCGTATCAGTCTTGTGTCAGGTGTTGTGGAAGCCTTGCTGGAAGAGGCCCACCAGGACTACCCATGCCTTGCTGAAGCTTGCGTTGCTCAGTTCCTGTGCTCAAGTGTGGTAACATTCCTTACCCACAGGCCCAGCCTGTTTCATCAGCTGGTTTTCTGCTTCTTATCTTGAAGTTAAGTATAGGTGAAAATCAGTTGTATTTGCAGAATAAAAAATGTTTAACTCAGCCAGTTTATGGGAAATGGTAAGCATTCTTAGACTATTACAAAACAGTGGAACAAGCCAATATAGAACAATAAAATTGAATACAAATGTCCTGAAGGCCTAGATCGTTCTCTGAAGCCAGCATGAACTGGACAGACTAATCTACCTCAAGTAAGTTCATGTGAACTACAGTAGATGGCTTCTTGCCAGTCAATGTGTGTCTTTTGGCCCCAGACCTTATAATATTCTTGTCCATGGAAACTCTCAGTTTATGTTTAGAAGTGTTTTAGTTTATACACACTCATGCTGCTTATGTGTATATTGAAAAGATAGGAGAAAGGGATTAGTAAAAGTAATCTTTAGTACCTATTTTTTACTAGATCATTTCCTGAGGTCAGCTTATTTGCTCCCATTTGTACTCCAAAATGTATATGAGAGGGCACTTGTATAGAGTTTAAGGCCAGTTGAAGGATATGCCAGTTTTATATACACATGTAACCCAAATGGCAAATATTAAATGGCTGCAGTATAAAAAAATAATTTAAAAGTTTAGGGGCTGGAAGTTACAGAAGCAGTACTGAGTTCCGTGTACCACCAGAAAAAAAAGGTTCTATGGTGATTAAGCATACCTATAATCCCAGCTTTTTGAGGCTAAGTGGGCTGAGAATGCATGAGTGGTAAGAGTACTTGCCCAGGTTCAATACACCACCAGTAAGTTGCAGAAAGTTCTATTATGTTGGTATTCTTCAGGATTAATATGTTAATATGCTTTCATCAGCATTTAATAGTTGTAGCCAAATTAGGTAATTTCAGCGCACTTTTGAACAAAAAACGTTTTTTTTTTTTTCTGGTGCAGCAGTTTGAACCCAGAGATTCTTACTTGCTCTGCTTGCTTGGTTGGCCCTCTACTACTGAAGCCACATTGTTAGCCTTGCTTTTTGCTCAGCACTTTGGAAGTAAAGTCTTGAATACTTTCCTACCCAGGCTGACTTTGAACCATAAGTCGCTGGATCTCAGCCTCCTGATAGTAGGATTACAGGTTTAAGCCACCTGGGCCAGGCAACGTCTCTTTGGGGAAGAGGGTGAGACGTGAAACTCCACCTCCACTGTAGCATGAAAGCTGGCCTTAGACTTATGACCCTACCTACGGCTTCCCCAAATGCTGAGGTTACAGATTTGCATTGTCTTACTGGCCCTAAAAACAAGATTGTTTTCAAAAATAATCTCAGGAAAAACTAACAACAAAAAAAGAAAATAAAAATAAACAGAAGTTAGAAAAATACAACTGAGATATAAAAACTATAAATAAAATAAAATAAAAATAGGTTAACCATTTTAGCTTTACCACTTGGCTAAGTTTTATCTAAAGAAATAGATATGTCAATGTTATTTGAAATTTTTTATAGAAAGGAAATTGTTGAAATGGGGAAAAAATGTTACAGTACTGTACCTTCACATCACCCAGCTCAAACCAACATTTTTCAGAGGTTAAAAATGACCACAAAAATGATTTCTAAAAGAGGAAAAGAAATTACTCTACTTTTTGTGGGACAGACATCTCAGGGAAGGATGTGGGGTTTTTTTTTCTTGATGAGGGGAGGAGTGTGTGTGTGTGTGTGTGTATGTGTATTCCATCAAACTGACCCTCTCAAAAGAATGGAAATGTATGGAGTGGAATGTGGTCCTGTGTGTGTACCTGGATTTCTAGCTACTCATGAGGGTGAGGCAGGAAGACCCTTTACCTCTGTACTTCCAAGGACAGCCTAGGCAGAACACCTGTCCCATAATGAAAAAAGAAAAACCTTTAGAGAGGGAAATGTGTGGAATGACTATCCACTCACACTTTTAACCACATGCCAGGCATTGCTTAGGTATCTTCGGTTGCCTAAACAAAAACCTGTTCTGTAATTCTACCTACTCAGGAGGCTGAGATCTGAAGATCATGGTTCAAAGCCAGCCAGGGCAGTCCATGAGACTCTTATCCCCAATTACCCACCAGAAAACTGGAAGTGGCACTGTGGCTCAAGTGGTACAGCTCTTGCCTTGAGCTGAAGAGCTGAAGGACCCTGCTCAGGCCCAGAGTTCAAGACCCACAACTGACAAACAAGCACACAAAAAACACAACACAAAACAAAAACACCTGTTCCTGGCATCAAAGAGTTAACAGCCAGTAAGAAGGTAGATTCTCAAGACTATGGCCTTGAGTAGTTCATTTGACTCTAGATCTTATGCTGGTTCAGCCACTTCATAGATGTGTAACCTTGGGCAATTTTTAAAAATCTTTGTCAGCTTCAGTTATCTCATTAGTCAAAGATAACATTAACAAAATCTAACCAGATACCAAAAGAAATGTTTAACAAAGTGCTTAGTGTACAGCAAGCCTAAATGGTTCTAATTATTATTACTTAAGACAGAAGCAAATGCCAATGAAAACACTGAGGGAGCAAGTTTCATTTAGAGACAGGTTTGCAGTGGAGGTATTTCAAAGAGAATAATATTTATTTTAGTGTGGTCACATGGGCTAAAACTCAGGACCATGTACTCTTGCTTAGCTTTTCCACTCAAAGCTAATGCTCTACCACTTGAGTTATAGCCACATTTCCGGCTTTAGGGAGTTTCCTTCCTGGGGCCAGCTTGGAACCTAGATGCTTAGATCTTAGAATCCTGAGTAGCTAGGATTACAGATGTAAGCCACCAGTGCTCAGCTGTATAAATTACCTTAATTTGTTTAAAAACAAAATTAGTGAATCAAACCTAGGTCTGAAGACTTTTTTTTAGCCATATGCTCATAGGAAAAGTACTGAATCTCTCTGAGCGATTATGAATTTCTTCTGAGGATTAACCAACCTAATAAAATTGAAGTATATAAAAGAATACTTGACATACAGAATGGTAGCTGTTAATTCACGAAGGCAGAAATGTTTAAGGTGGAACA